AGATATACTTGTGCAGACGGGGAAGATGTCTTTGAAAACAGTATCTTCTGTGCTGTCATATTTCTGTAGTGCAGTAAGATGTAACTCGTTACAGAGTTGACATGGTCTCTTTAGGTTACAGTCCTCTGGTTTATGTTTTCTAGCACATCGAAAACATCGATCTCTCATCCAAGATTCAACTTCCACATCAGAAAGCTTATCAAACTCTGGGCAATTATTCAGAAAATGATCAGCCGATACACATATAGGACAGTATCCCTTGTATTTTGGTTTGACCAGATGACACACGTGACGCACAATACAGTTCTGCTCCGCTCTGCATAGATTTCAACATCCCAACGAATGACTGTATACGCAAGGCAAAATTCTCAAAGGAATCGATATCATAATCCCCCAAACTTAATCGGTGGACTGTTAAGCAAGGCACTTATCTCACTCTGAATCAGTTGGCCTGCACTACCATATGTGCGTTGCAACTCCTGCAGAGCTCTTGTATAAGGAGAAGGGTCAAACATGAAGGCCTCGGCAAGCTGTCTTGGTTTATTCCCAAGTTTGTCCAATAATAGTTGATACTTGTATGATTCAGTCAGGTGAGGGTGTACATCAACTAAGGTCTTAAGTGCCATCTTCAGTAGACTAAAGTCTCGTTCCTTACCACTCTTGAACTCTGGTAGAGTAGGTTTAGGAATTCCATACACAGAGGAAATCAGCATTGCATTCATGGGCAAATCAGCACTGGTAGCACCTGAAGCAAGTTTGGTCTGAGGTACATCAGCAGGTGATGGATTAACATGGAAATCTTCATTCTGTCTGGGTGCAAATACGTGAGCACTTGGATTAAGGCTGTGATTTTGGCCTACATTTGAATGTTCAATTTCATGTTTGATATGTCTATTGGAGGGTATTGGTGCACATTGATCAATAAATTCCTTGGGGTATGTTACCTCAGTGTTAACTTCTCTGGGATTGGATGTCTCACTGACATCTGGCTCTTTCATCCTATCACCATGATCACCACTGTCAATCATAGATGAAATTAACGTTGCCTCTATATACTTGTTCTCAGCTTCTCTTAAATTTCTTTCTTTAGTTAGCTGCAACATCCTACTTTCTTTCTCTTTCTTGATAGTCCTCTCCATTCTCTCTAACTCATGTCTAGTTTCAGGTGCTTTATCCTCCATAGGCTTCCTCTAACTGTTTCTTAAGTTCATCAAGTTCATGTTTTTGTTTCACTTTCTCAAGTTCGGCAGTTTGCCTATCACTCAGTCTGGACAAAACGGACAAACTAGTTGAATGTGCACTTCCTACACTTACTTCTGAACGAGTAGTCATTACTTCATCAAGTTCATAATTCATGTCAACAACATAATCTGACAAATGGGCAGGTGGTCGTCTGCGCCTGGACGAAAACCGGACAGGGCGCCCGTCTTGCGAGCGTGGCCGTGTTGCACCGGGCATATCATAGTCATCATCGTCAAAGTTCACAATTAGGCAAGTACTTACACAATCCGCCTCGCGGGACCATGAAAAGAAGACGAAGTCGCCGGTAGTTCGTGTAAGCTTACTGGCATTCACGTTTCAGTACAGGCATTCGGCATTCCCGCAGCACTTGCGAGGCAAGGCAAGGCACAATCACACACACTGTCAAAACCACGCACAGCACGTGGTTACATCAAAATTACACACTTACGACAGCAAACGAAATCGGGTGCCTCTGCTGAGTGTATGTAATTGTTGAACTGGCAAAAAAAACGGAAAAGACTTAATTTCCTTCTCATAATTAAAATTCAAAATAACATAATTCATTACTTTCTGACAACGCCATTAAGAAATACGTTTATGTTTAAAGGATAAACGGTACAACCTATAATTAGAAATGAACCTTCTTTAATGATGATCACTAAACGGTTTGGTCTTCCAGTCAGGTTTTACCAGTTGAAAGAGGTAGACTTGACATTTTAAAACAAGATGATATTCGGTATCATGGCGGACAGCTTGAAAGTACGTCTTTGTTCAAGCTACTGGCCTTGCACCCTGGAAGTGTGTTGAGTTTGTGAGACCTGTTCGTGGACTGAAAGCAGATTTATGGACTCCTAAAGGTAGAATTTAGGCATATAATTTGGACACAGGGCATTTTCAGTTCCACTTAAAGCACTTGCTGAAATAGATAGAAGATTTGTTTGCAAAAGCGTTGAAAAATAATGCATAAAGACCGTTGAACGTTTTTCTTTCAATTTGTATCTTTTGAATTGACAAGGGGCGGTATGGTAGCCTAGTGGTTAAAGCGTTCGCTCCTCACGGCCCGGGTTCGATTCCCCGCATGGCATAAAAACATACATGTGAGATTGTATTCGAGACATCCTTAGTTAGCTTCAGGGGCGGTGGGGTAGACTGGTGGTTGAAGCTTTCGAGCGTCACGCCAAAGACCTGGGTTCGATTCCCCACATGGGCACAATGTGTGAAGGCCATTTCTGGTGTTCCCCGCAACGATATTGCTGGAATATTGCTAAAAGCGGCATAAAACCATACTCACTCACTCACCCACTCATTGACTTTGATTTACAAAATACGATTGTTATGACAGTCTGACACTCACAACCACAGATTCCAACCACCCGGTGTCTTGCGTGGCAAGGACCCCAACAATTTTGGGGACGCGGTGGGCGAACTGGCTAAAGCGCCAAAGCTAGTGATCCAGCGAGCATGAGGTGACTGGATCGAGCCCACCTGTGACCGGGTGTAAAAACCTTGGAGTCAATTTTGAGTACAGACTCTTTAAGCGTTGTCACAACCCCTAATGTACAGTTCACAACCCTGTGCACTTAAAAGAACCCACGAATCCGTTGGTATATGACCAGATTGTGGACACATGAATACGTGCAAACACCTAGTTGCGGGTACAGCAACATGCAGTAAACAAAGTATTATGACTATGTGTCCCAGTCCACCCAGCTGTGAATGGGTACCTTGTAAGGATGGGAATGCCACAATAACTCGGTGCACCTAGTGGCTGCAAGAGTGGTATGCTCCCCAGGGAGTTGAGATTGACAATACGATATGCCGTTGAGATTGCTATCAAGTGAACAAGGGAGAAACTAAGCGCCTTTGAGAAGCTGAGCTGAGCTGGATATCGGCGCTATACAAATGTTAGCATGTAATGTAATGTTGTGTACAATTTACTCTCAGGGGAAATTATATGTTTTTTAATCAGTCGGTGTTATATGACAGAAATATGACCCACGCATCATTCATCTATTATCTAGTCGTGACAAAGTGACAGAGCACCGGCAGGTAGTGGCTGCCATCTGCATGATATGATCTGACTTAAGTGCACTAAGATCAGACTCATTTTACAAGGAGATCGGGCCAGGCGAATATTCTGTAACGGTAAAGGCCAACTACCAATAATTGTTGGCAAAGTTACTAAAATAAAACTAAACAGTTAGACGGGTACATTTAATGAATTGTTTCCCTAATTTGCATGCGAGGTAAAAAAAATAGTCGCGAGTTGGTCATTCACACAGCAGTCCCTTGGGGACAAAATGATGCCGATGAATTGCGAGCTAACACAAAAACAAATAGACATTAAAGAATCAAACCAACGCGGAGTGCAATAAAAGAAAAGACAAACTCTACAGAAAACTTGCATAATTTTTGTCACAAAAAGAAAAAAAGTTTAAGGAACTGTTCATCATTTATTTGTGCGTTTTCCAAGTTTGTTACAAGGGAGTATTGGCAACTAAAGGGACAGCGCGAAAAGCGAGATTCTCTCGAAAGATCAAGTTCCCCCAAGCTAATATTCTCGGATAGTGATAACCACCTTGGGTCACAGATTTCCATGGTTAAATGTTCTACCTAAATGGACAAACATTCATCTTTTAGTGCATCATTCTTGTGTTCTTGGACATGCAAGAAGAAGAACATCGTAAGACGGCCTAGGCTAATGTCAACCGTGATTGTAAAATGTCTGATGGCAATATATATTCCAAAACCTGTTAACATTTCCAATAAATTGTGAATACACAATCCCACATATTTCACCTGGCTTAGTGGAAGCCGCGATGGCTGAGTGGGTTAGATGGCTGACTCTGAGAGTGTGGGCTGGAATCAAAGGTGCTAGAACCTGTAGTTTACAGAGAAAGTGTAATCTCAGATACAGCACGGGTTACTTACAGTACACCGCGGTTCTAACGACCTCAAAAGGAGGACCACCAATGTTAGTTCGTTATAACCGTAGTTCGTTATATGCATTTAGACAAAAATATACACCAGTAAGAATGCATTATACCGGATACCTGGCAGGGTTAGGGTTAGGGTTAGGTTAGAGGTTACGGTTAGGTTAGGTTAGGGTTAGGTTTAGGGTTGGGGTTATTTTCATCTCAGTTTTATATTTGTTCACCTATCCGCGCTCGCATCACGTGACCTAATTAAATATGGCAGGCAGGTATCCGGTATAATGCATATGCACCTATACACCACATGAGAGTGACAAAAAGCCCTACCCCCAACCCGAAAATAACCAAACAAAAACAGCAAGACACACCCACCCCCACCCCACCCCACCCACCACCCCCAGTAAAAACAACAAATAAACAAAACTAAAATACTATCAAAGACTAGTAAATAAATGAAATAAAATCATAAAATATGAAAATAGAAAAAGAAAAAAAATCGTTACATCCGTCATTTCTTTATAAACGTGTTTGTCAATGTTCCTTCACTGTTGACTGGGACATCCGATGGACCTTAACTTTCTGTCAAGGACCTGAGGTTGACGACTGTAGTAGACGACTGTAGTAGAATGTAGTACACGACTTCCTGATGTATACGTGGACCTTCTACCTTTAAGAGTTTCTGTATTGAAATGATAACACGAATACATTCATTTCACCCGCACAATGAAATCTTGAAGATTGGACAAGAGCCGTTCATAAGATAGTACTTCTTCCCGTTTGAAGATATCTACAAGAGGTTATCGCGTTCTTGGAAAACAATATGCCCTTGGGCTATTGCGCATGCACTTTGAGAAGGTGTTGATAACGGCTGTTGGTCCTGGGTCAGACGGCTGGAAAATGGGGATGAGGACGGTTTGTGTGACGGTGTTGCTCTGCTGTGCTGTGGGGGTCGTCGCAATCACAGACCTCACCAGACAAGAGAGACAGAAGGGCGCGGACGTGGTCCAAGCTGCGATTGACCAGATTCGAGATTGGTGTATTTTCTCACAGGATAGGCTTTTTTTGAGACGATTAGCCTATGTCGAGTCCAAAGACGGCCTTGACCCCAAGACGTATAGAAATGGATATTACGGGGGTATCTGGCAGGTAAATTGAAGATCTCATAATTCTCATGATTCTCATGAAGATTAGAACTGTCTTCAGCAATGCATGTAAAAGGCGATGGGTGGTTGGCTGAATGTCGTCCTTTGCACAATGTTCAGATACACACAGAAATTCAGTTAGATTAATTCCAGGCTTTAGTCATCATAAACCGTACAAATGAGTGATTTTATTGCATATATTTAGCTTTATCCTTTGATCGCGCTGCAGAGGCCACCAACAGGCTGACGCTGTGAAGATCTGGTTAGAATTCATCTTCATTCAGTAACCTATATTTCTCCACAGAGGCAACTAACAGATCAGGGACCAGTTCCTCAAAGCGATCGTAACCCTAAGACGATTGTAACTCCCATACTTTAACACAGACTTACAGTTGTAGCGCTACGATCGCTTTGAGGGACGGGGCCCTGGTCGTTAGGGTCCATGACTTGCTAGATGCATGACACCTTATCCCAAATACATAGGACATGATGTCAATCACCGGATTGTTTGCTCCAATCCCTCTCATATGGCTTGAATATCGCTGTGTGAGACGTTATGCATGACTGGTCTTAATGCAGGGACCTGTCCTCTGACCAAAACTGACCCCCTGCAGATCCGGTTCAGAGCAACGGCGAATAAAGTGACCGGGTGGTCAGGCTCGCTGCCTGGGCTGATACATGCCATCGCTTCTCAACTTGCTACATGGATGTTCTTGATGTCAAACACTAGATTGTTTGGTGCAGGCTTGACAAGGTGGAGACACCCGTCATATAGCTGCTATATATTGCTGCAACAGAATCAAACAAAAACAACCAAAGAACCAACCAAACCCAACAAAACTGAAACGCTTTTCATTTACTTCTTTCATTGCAACAGGTAGACGAGTCTATGTTCAGACAGACCATTGCGTGTCCCTCAGCCATCCGTCACGTCTGTAACGACATCCAGACCAACATCGGCATCGACTGGCCTCGAGTTCAGTGGCGGGATCTTTTAAAGCCGCTTTATTCAGGTCTAGCTGCTTCTCTCTACATCCAGCTGAAACAAGGAAACACAATTCCGGGGAGCGTGGATGCCCAGAGCCGGATCTGGAATAACATTTACCAACCAAAGCCACCCATCGCCAACTTCTCATCTCTCGTAGTTACAGGTATGTCAGAACTGCAAACCCCAGGAACGAACGTAGCTGTAAATGCTTTGGCCGTTTCGCCAGAAAAGTTTGACTATTTCTAACTTGTTACTGAACACATGTTCATATATGTTTCATATAACGCTCTTCTACAGGGTGTTCACATTTATGGATTCACAACACACCTGGTCAGTAAGTACCCAGTATTCACCTTGGTTAAGATGTTTGTTGTTTAACGTCGCACACAGCAATATTCTAGCTTTATTATGGCGGCGGTCTGTAAATAATAGGCCAGTGATCAACATCATGAGCATCGATCTAGGCAAGTTGGGATACGTTGACATGTGTCATCCTAGTAATGGAACCCTGACCACCAGTTTTCTTTACATAAATTGCTAAAGACCAATTCTAACCCGGATCTTCACGGGTACATGATATCCACGACTTCCATAGCTTGGGGCTCCCTATCAGCATCTAGATGACAGTCCCTGCTCAAGCGGACATGCTGTTCAAACGGGCTTAAACCAATGACGAACAATGCTGAGATGCGACACTACGCAAGAGTAACTGACTCGGAATTTTTATATATTTCATATGATATGTTTCATCTTTTGATTAATTGTGGCAACATCAAATAAAATTATGTCATGAAATGTCAAATATCATTTTAGACCTATTTCATTTCTTTATCACTTCAACTTTTCGTATCAACTCTATGCCTGTAAAACATAGACTGGCCTTGAAGGTTATCCCGTCTAAGCTCACGCCTGTGTTTTCACAATTCGACTTCATTTGAACTAACTAACCATACGATATGGTCAAAGTACTTCCGTGACCGCCGTGCTGTAAAAAAACACTTGTCTTTCTGATTTATTGCGTTTTTTTAAGTTTTGTTTTTTAAGGTCGAAGGATTCGTACAGTAGAAATAAATGACCGCTTCACGTGTTTGTTTAGAATCATGCGACGCAGAACTGGACGTGACGTTCTTGGTGGACAGTTCTGGGAGTATCGGATCTACGGACTTCCAGAAAATGCTGAACTTCCTGCAACAGGTGGTGGAGAGTCTGGGTGTGAGCATTACAGGGACTCACGTCGCCATCGTGCGCTTCAGCTCCTCCCCCAAGCTTATATTCCGCCTAAACCAGTACTACTACGCCGCCGAAATTGTCAGGAATATCCATAAGTATGAAAAACACCTTGAATCTGCTAAACACCTTCTGTTTAGTGATGTGTATCTGAACTTAATAATCAAACAATACCACCCTCGATTGTCCAGGGCGTTATCACAGCAAAAAAATGGGTACCCGGTGGGATAAGTTAACCTTCTAGCAGCTTGGGTTATCCGGGGTAATAAGAATAATCAGATTATATCTGCGCGCTTTGAACGGGTTTTGAAGCCAAGAAAGGCACGTTATAAATATTCTACATTATTAATCATTATTACTATCAGAGAGATGTTTTCCCGCTTATTTCTCACACGCTTAATTAATGTATGAGGATTTCAAAGCAAGTTTAGAATGCTAGAGCGTGTCCAGA